TCTGAACTATAACAATCAATGACGATCATTAAAAAAGCCGGACTCGACAGACGGTGTAGAACGAGCGGTAGAAGCCGCAAACGTATACATACATTTGGCCTATTCGCAACGCTTACAGACAGCGCACCTCAATTATTACCTGCTCATTGCTTGCCACACCCTTTACTATTCATCAGCAGCATTCGTTTCATGACGCTACGAAAGTCAGCGGTAGATAACTGGGTAAAGAGGTTCATGTTGACCATTACTGCATCGCGCGACCGACATGTTAAACGTTGCAACAGATGAACGAAGCGACTGTGTCTCAGCATCAGCAGAGACAAGAGCGAGCTCGATTCTTTCTCTTAAACTCAAAAAAAAACGACGACGACGACCGGGGCGAGGGCGACGAGGACAACAACAAGGGCCCTGTGTGCGTCGGCCAACGGTGATGCTTCCTTTTAAAACCAACCAGAGAAGCTGCGTCGAGGAGCAGGCCGGTCTGTCGCGGACCCATAGACTCTATCTTAAACAATTGAATGACTGCGTTCGTCTTGGCCAACAATGTCACTTTGTGGCACAGGCGACTTTGACGACGATCACAGCGGCGGAAGCGACAACAACGACGAATACCGGTGAAAACCGGTAGTAGTCTTCAAGCGCAAACTGCTATATAATACAAGCTACTATATACAGTATGGGATGACTGGTTGACAACTCGACAGGTCGATAGATGTGTGCCGATGCTGCGGCTATCGACCGGCGTCGTTATTTCGCGGCGGTCTCTTACAGCTGCGAAGTCGGCGTTGATGGTTGCTTCCTGATTTTTCCATCCTTGAGCTATTGGTCCCCTCCCGGGTGCCTGTTCTCGATCTTCCTTTTCTCGATTTGCACCCTTGGCTTCTCCACGAGAGCTACGCTCTAGCGACGTTCGACGAGCAGACAGACGGATGGGTCCCATCAAGGAGAAATCAACACCAGCGCTCTGTGATTTACTCTGCAGCAGCAGCAATGCAATCGGTATACGTTATACGCGACAGCCAGTTTTATCCGTCTACTATTGTCGCTGCTTGTTCACATAGGACAGCGTACCTGTGTATATTATTGCGTTTTATGCCTGAAAACGATTTTCTTATGTCTGTCTCTGTGGGTGTAAATGTGTGTGTAATTTTCGATAATGTGAGTACATGTTTCACGTTATATTCAGCGGGCTATTTGAGTAACGGAAACGTCGTACTAGCATTAACTAATGCTTAATATAAAATACAGTCGTCTAGACAGAGATCTTCGCTCAGCCTGTCGCCTTCAGATTTTGTTTCAATTTCGTATATACGCTGTATGCAAATGCATAAGGTAAGCTATCACAACCTCCATCACCAGCAGGATCAGCACCAGCGCAGAAACGCCGCCAGCAGAAAAAAGACGTGCGTGGGGGTGTGTAGATCGAGATTGTAGTCTTGTAGAAAAGATACGCTACAGGACGAATGTCACAGGACGGTACGACGACGGTAGAGCCTACTTACACAGATCGTCTTTCGTTCGCATGAACACCTACATTCATCGTTCCGTGTCGAGAATGGAACAAGACGTTCGCATGGATCTACCCCCACGCCGCCACGCCACCCCCCTCAATTATACACATGCAGGGTGAAGAACACAGGGGGAGAAGGAAAGAGAACGGGCGAAAATGAAGCTTCACTACTGCTTACTGCAGGGAAGCCACCCTTTGTTCAGCTTCAGATGTTGCTTCGAAGATTCGTGGGAACATCGGTTCTGGCATCAGTAGATTCGAATCAGGGCTCCAGCCATCGGTCGAAAGAACAGCAGCGGCAACCTGGGCGTAAACGCTACTGCGCATTGTGGGCTCCTCCACCACCGCCGCCGACCGGCTTCGAAACCGAGGACCTGTTCTATTACTCAATGAATGAACGTTGTGTGTAGAGGAATCGCGGAGGAGCAAGAAGCACCTTCGAAGAGAGCGGTAGAAAAGAAGCAAGAAGTAGGCGAAGCTCAGATAAACCCGTCGATCGCGATCGCTTCCATTTGAGGCCTCGTACTTGGCTGCCGCCGTTGCTGCCGCCTCCACCGTCAGCAACCTGCCAGACTCCAAACGAAGGATGGCTGTGATTCTGCACCGTGCGGCACTCATTCGTCCAGGTTACCAGGCTACGCGCTACGAGAAACGAGACCCGGTCTGCGAGTCCGCAACGCTGTTTTGCATTGTTAGCCCACTGTCTCAGTCTGAAAATGGCTGAGGCGGGTCAAGGGCTACGTGAACGACAACGGCAACGACAACAACAACGGCGGCGGCGCCGACGATGACGGCGACAATAACACCAACAGCAACAACAACACCAGCGGCAAAGAAGAGAACTCGAATTGCCGAAAGAAAAAGCCACGAGAAACGGGCAGGACGAAGTAACCGAGTGTAAGAATGAAGAAATTGGCGCAGGGTACCCAGTGAGAATAGAAGAGAGTAGTGTGAGTGGAGCTGAGAATTGAGGCCCCATGAGGCTCAATCTCATGCTAAACGTTAGCAAACGAAGATACGAAGCTGGTGGCAGAACTCTTAGAGGCAGAGTTCGGAAGATGCTCTGCAAGAGATCAGTTGAGACAGCTGATCTGCATGGCGCCACTCTTTACCGCACTCACTCTTGCTATGTCTGTTACATAGCCTGTAACCATGACAGTATTGAAACGATGGGCAGCTGGAGTTAGCCGGGGATTTGCTGTCTGTCCTCAAAGGGCAACACAAGAATACGTGAATGGTGGTGCTTACACAAGTGAGGGGCCGCCTTAGACGAATTATCGTGAACCGTCACCGCTTGAGTGAATCTCCTGCACTCCCACACACCACTCTCGTCGAATGGAGAGCTGCTACTGAAACATCCTCTGCTTTTTTGAGCAGTAACTTGTTCAATACAATTGATCCGCGCCTTTTTCAAGGCCTTGAGCAGGAGACTTAGTAGGAGGACACTCAGAGGTTACCCGGCAGGTGGCTTATCGTGGGAGTGGGGATACCGTCAGAACTTCCTAACATTCATAGAGTAACACCTAGAAATAGCAAATAAGAGGGAGGAATAAAGGCAAAGACATGAAAAAGCAACGAGTCATTTTTAAACCTAAACGACTTTAAAGCTCGTAAAAAGAAGAAATACAAAACATAATAATATTTTACGAAGTTACTTCTGACCACTTTACATCTAACGTTCCTAAATTGGTGAGTAATACACCCCTGCGCTGTCTTGTCTCTGTCCTTAAATAGTATTTTTCGTTAGTCCTTAGTACACGACAATTGATCGGAATATACTGTCTAGTCGTAAGTCGTCACGAACGAAATTTAGATGAAAAGAAAATCGTATTCTCTAAATCGAATTGTCGACTGCGGCGCAATTGACGGCCAGCATTTTGCATCTAGAAAAAGACCTTTTTGATACAAAGCAAACGAACCCGTACGGAATTCGTAGTCGTGCGTTGCTGGCAACCCCGTTGAAGTTGCAGGCCAATGGTCCGTTGGTGAGGAAAACATACGCTCCGTCAGAGGGAGGCTGACCGTTATAGGATTAGCAGCGAACAGGCCACTCTACCAGGGTCGACCTTAATTGTCCTGCAATGGCGTTCACTGCGCCTCTGTACGCAAAACGCCATTACGGTCACCAACAAAAAGATGACAGTGACGGCAATCTATGTGACTATGGAACGCAACAAGGTTTGACTAAACAACAGTATGACCGTAAAACAGAAACATTTAACATGAATGTTTCATATACTTATATCAGGTACGCGCGTGCGCATGAATGAAGGTCTCTCCTCATCATCGCTTGCTATTCGTCTCTACTGGAAAATGAATCGACGACGCTGTCTCATCTTTAGGGGTCTTATAAAACGCATCTTATGCATATTGAAATAAAGATCACCTTTTTATCAAAACGTATACTCTCGAAGCATTGCACACTACCTTTAATCTTAGAACACTGCAATAACCACAAACGACGATGAGATACAAGAGCAAAGACGCCAGCCATCAGACAGTTGCATTTTCAACCAGCCAGCCAAAGGCCAGTCAGTCTCTTTTGATATTACGTTAATCATTGGTCACCGCTATAGCGTCACACGGCATTCATTGGCCAAAGGGTTGAAGGCTATCTAGCTGTTTTGAGAGACGGAGAAAAACATTTATACGGAAATGTGTGCAATAAACATCAGGTACTCATGAGTATGCGATTATCAATGTGTAGGTGGTGAAAGTACGAACTAGAAACAGAAGTCTGTAGCTAGGCTTGATGATTTCATGGTGTACCTCTTTCCCTGCAGACTAGTAAGGAAAAGAGCAACAACATTACCTATAACCCAATTTAATAAAGGCCTTCTCGAGTATTACTCGGCCATCATAATTCAAAAGGTTGGCTGAGACAGGACAGAGAAATTCACAGGTGGAAAGATTCAACACGCACACTCAGGCACGCATCGAAGTGGACACTAACGAAGGATTTCCTTAATAAAATTTCTTAGTCAGAGCAATTTCTAACAAACGTACAGATACAGAGAAGAACCTTTCGGTAACAGACGGGTCGGCGAGTCGTACCGATTCAGAGACAGAGACGAGTGCGACGGCAACTTTTGCCTAAGCTAAGAAGTGGGGAAGCAACAAGCGAAATGACAGCCTAGGCGATACATCTTACATTATAGCAGATAGCAGTGGATAGAAAACAAACTGCATTCAACGCAGCCTGTACTAACGGGCACAAACAACAGCTGTTAAGTCGGTCACAGTTGATTGCCTGTCTCTTCTGTGTGAGCATAGTTGTGATTGTAAATTGCACCATTATCGTCAATGTCTTACAGTGACATGTGTAAAACCAAACAGGTGATGCCTTGTTATTCAATGAAGTGCAAAACAGGAGCCATGCAGCACGTGCATACAGACTGACGTATGAACATTCAAGTACATCTATCTAAATTGCTCTATCTACACAGATCACTCTCTGTTATGTTCCAGATCAGGTGTGAATACTACTTACCGGAGGTGGCGCCGTCATCGTTGGGCTGGCCGTTCGCGTAATCGCCGTCGTCGATGTTAACATTGTCGTCGAGTGATTACTGAGTCGATCAACCACATCGTCGATTCTCATGCGTTTCCGCTTGAGTAGATGGGGAGTGTCCTTTACGTCGTCGTGAGCAGAGACGATGGTGGAGTGAATGCTGCCATGATGATGGTGATGGCCAAGGGCCGTTTGCGAGGTTGCCGACGATTTAAGGTCGGCCTTCAGGTCGTCAACGTTGTCCTTTTCGCAGCGACGCACCGTACTGGCAACCGTCATACTGAGCAGATCCGCCGAGCTAACGGCGCTCATCAGGTGCTGGCCGATTTGGCCGCCGAGGTGGCCACTGATGGTGGTTGGCGACAGGGGTACGTGCTGGTTCAGATCCAGCATCATCAGATCACCATACGAACACCTCGTAGGCTGCCCAAAAGGCGGCGGGAGGCTTCGACAGCAGCGGGAATCGTCTGGGAATCGGCAACGACACCACTTCTGTGTGCTGCCTGAGTTGCCCCCTGTGTTGACCTAATGGTAACCTGTTGCAGAAAGAGGACGACAAAGCAGAGGCGTTGATTGTAACGGTAGACGATCTAGCAAGTTCACTTTAGCGAACACGCATACCACCACTAACAGGAGGTCGCCGCGCTACGCTGAACAAGACACCTTATCACTGATCCTGCAAGGCAATGTACGAGGCAACGCAACGGGAAACGGACAACACGAGGTTGTAATAGTAGATCGACGCACAATAACGCACCAACAAGAACCACGTAACTGGAGACGTAAATCTCCTTCTAGTTGTGTCTGCAACACCGATACACCACCGATGCTATCTAGCTAATTGGCCGTGATCACAAAGACTGTCGTCGGTAGACAAAGCTAACAGAAGTAGTAATAAGATATTACTAGTATAAGATGAGATAATCAACGACGTGGTTTTAGCACACATATATAATCCGCTAGGGCAGTTAGTTCCAGTTCGTACACAGTTCGTCTGATGTTGTCATCTTTTGCAACGCTGCAATAACAATCATTGAACAACAACAACAACAATGAGGCGGTCACGACCTTCTCAGGTCAAGTAATTAGGTAACGGAGAGCTTAAACTAGTCAAATGAACAATATCGATCGGTCAATTATTAACAGCAGTGGCAGCTTGGCAACACGGGTCGAACCGAAAGCAGTACTGGCCCTTTTTTCACGCAAGTCTTAATTCTATTCTTCTGGGACAAAAAGAGACGCCAATATCGTCTAGTGGGTTCACACCATCCACTAGCAGTATGTCTACTTCTCTTGAGCACGTGTTACTGTCTGAAGCCGGCAAACACGGCGCGACTGAGGTGTACCCGGACACCCTTTCCCAGGTGGGCGGGGCCTGAATGCGCGCGATTGCCAGCGAACAGGCTAGTGCTGGCGTTTTACTAGCAGCTAGACTCTGGTGAAGGCGGAGCATCTGGCACGAATAGGGAGGGACTCGCTGTCAGCGCGGGCGATTGGTGATCGGTTGCGCGAAATCGCCACCAGATGGAGCTGGTCGCCGATCCCGAGATTTCATCCAGCGCTGTTAAAAAATTATTTTTGAATTTTTTCGTACGTTACGCTACTAAACTATGCATGAGCGTTATAATAAAAAGTCAAAGAAACAACGACATTTCGTAGCGGCGGAAGACGGTTGCAACAGCTAATTTTTGCCCAACTGATTTCGATAGTAGAAACAAGACGATCTACAACCTCCGACGCAATCAAAGGAAACCATGATAAAATGTAGGGCTAAAAGAAATGCTATAAGCGGACCGTTACTAATAGATGTCTGTGATTATTTAGAATCTGTTATCATATGTGCGAATTGACGCGTGGCGGTCTGCAATGTATATAGAAATGAAGTTCATCTTTATGGTAATGAAAGAGTTTTCTCTATGGTCAATTACCCTATTAGTAGTACGAGAAAGCAGGGTTATCTGTTTTGGATTCCGCTGAATGAAGTAAATAGATATTCTAAACTGTCGGCCCTAATTTAAATCTTTAGCGTGTTCGAGTATACCATCTTAACCATAACGCATTTGTGCAAGCAGACTAGACCGTTTTAAATCGCTGATATCTCATAAGCGGAAATGGTTTAATCTCCAGGCAATATACGTATAGTAATTATATGCTAACGATCGCTCGACAGACGACGAGCAAGGGGTCTACGTCACTTATCAAAGTAAATTGATGCCATTGTAGAAATATGACGTACGACACAGCGTTAGTTGAGCAAAAAAGTATTTCTATTCGTAACACATATGTTAGAAGCGTACACTTGTTTTTCCAAAATCATCAAGTACGTACAAAAAATGCTACAGAACTTTAAAGATGTTTTCGTACTAGCATTAATAATTGGCTTCTGATTTACAGCATTCAAATAAAAAAATCCATAGTGACGCAGCCCAAGTAGATCAATAACCCACAAACGGTTCGATCTGCTTTGTTGCCTACGTTACAAAGAGCTCATTATCAAACGACGTTCGAGCTACAAGTGTTTAGCTTTCAGTTGAACCCGAATTTACACAGAAAATTATGCCGCAAGTTACCTATCTTACTAGCCTCAAAAAATGAGCACCGACGAAGGAAGTAATTCACGAAGAAGATAAATTATATAAATTGAAAAAGCACGAAAGTGACTTTTGTTAAGGTATTCCGTTGAATATTATGTTATATTTATTTATTTTAGTTTTTTTTTTCTAGTAATCTGGCAGACATTTACTCTGGACGGAACCAGATCCGCTAACTGCGAGAAAATGTCGCTCATAAAAGCATCGCGTCAACGAATCTGGTCGATCTTGAGACTATCACTCAGTTCAAATCAACGTTCATCAATGGCCAGCAATCGTCTACATGAAAATGCAGATTACTGTTTGTAACAAACTATACTAGTCAGGAGATTACCTATATGTTCCTATCTGAAATGTATTTTACGGTTGAAAAAATAAGCAATCTGATCGATATTGCGCCCTTAGCGTTTAGCTTGAATGACGGTTTGATACCATTAGTGGTGGCGCATGGTGCCTAATAAGCGTGTTCGTTACGATTTTGCGCGCGACGTCTCCTGACCCTTTTCTTTTGACTCGAAGGTGCCGGTTTAAAAATCACGGATACGCTTATAGCATATAAGTCGGTTGTTTAGCAACGATAAAATCGATAAGGAGGAGAACATGCAAATTTCATCGAGGCAAACCTATAATTTCTCCATCCACTGACCTCGAAAATAATTAGTGCACAAGGTCGAGCGCGTTGTTCAGTAAGGTGACCCACAATGCCATCAGAACACATCAGCTACACGCTGTTTGTCGACAATAGGCTTTTCTTTTGAAATTGGCCCAGGTTTGCCATTCGTACCCTGTCGCCGGTGTGGCATAATTTCAATTTTCATCGAATACATTTCGGTTTTTATTTCAGTCTGTGGCAGTCGACATCAACTAGCTACGAATGCGCTACCAGCCATCGTTCAAACGGCGAAAGGGGACTTCTTGTCAACTAATCACTTAGTCGAGACGCGCGCCACCAGCGACAGGTGACGCATTTGTAAGTCAGGGCATTTGTGTGACCCTGCGGCTGCCAACAGCGTCTGCTGTAGTTGAGTGTTGTCGACACTGACCAACAATGCCATAAAGAAGCATCAGTAAACTCAACGACGAGCGATACATTTACCGTGTCCGCCTTCGCGATATGAGTCGGGGAGAATGGAGGTCGTTCAGCATACATAGCTTAATTGCTATTTCGGAATCAATACGGTTTTTAATTTACTGAGAAGGCTGAGGGATGACGTTTTCACTGACGGCCGGATGACAGGCCAACAAGCGGCGTAAAGTCAAGTAGCGTAGATGCTGACTGTTCGATGCACATATCTATACAGAATAGGGTGATTAGGTCACTACGCAAGTGGCCTATTGCGGTCGGCCGTATCTTGAGCAGAAGGGATACAATTCACTATTTAACGAGTTGGCAACATCATTTTGGCGCAGTCGTTCTAGACATAGGAATCAGTAAGTTACGTAAATTCGCGTTGGGAGTCATAGGGAAGTTTAGGAATAAGAAAATTGTTGCCTCTTTACGCCGGTAAACGATTGTCTTTATTAATTGCCGCTGTATTTTATTTACGTCCTGCACTAGCCTAAGTCCTGTTTCACTGACCTGACAGAACACACCCAACACAATGCTGCATCACTTACGTTTCTAGGCTGTACAGTTAAATTCTAAGAACGCCTGAGGTATTTTGCGTCACTTCAAATGTATGTGTCTGATAAAAAATTAACTTGGGTTCAATACTGGTATACACACAACGATCAAGCTTCTGGTTGGAAGAGACCAGGGAGGCTGCTGTTTCGAGTTCTGCAAAAGATAGATAAATATAACATTTGTGTGAACAAAGAAGTTGGCTATCATATATACGCAGAGCATTATTCTAATGATAAACGATTCAGCATAAAGCAAACGACCGATAAAGCTATTTGTATGACCCGTCGGCGATTAACTAGACTTGGTTAGCGGCTATACAAGATGGATTGGCACTCAACGAATCGACAAAGATAGATCGATAAAGCAGTAACGGCTCGCGTCGGATGTTCCGTTAGGGGTGGCAGTAAAGCACGCGCGGGTCTTTGTCCTGTCAGTCTTTTGTTGTCCAGCGATTTCACAGCACCACACTGTTACGGGACTCACAATTGCTAGCGCCTTCGACATTCGCTCATTGTGCTGTAGCTGTCGCTGCTCGGCGGCTAATGGTTTTATTAAGAGATTCTGTTGCTGACGCCGCAGCCGCTGTTGTTGTTCATGTTATCTCTACGTACTTCTGCTGTCGCTTTTGTTCGCTTCGCTGCCCACGCCACCGCAACGGCAGGAACAAAATGAAGAGGTAACGGATATCGGTGACGGTGTCGGGAGGGTAAAGCTCACTCATCGTCGCTGTCGAGGGCGATGTCATCGTCGCTCACAGCGGCCACTGCCGCCTCCCCCTCAGCCGAACAACGAAGCGTATCGAGTCAACACAAGCTCCTACGCGGCCAGCAACTCTACGACCCGGTCGTCGTCATCAACAACGGCAGCAGCAGCAGCAGCAGCAGCAGCAGCGCGTCGAATAAAGCGATGCCACTAACTGATACGGCTGAGACGAAATGCGGAAGCAACAACCATATCGAACAAGCACCACCTTTCCCATCTTCAGCAGAAGCAGACGAACGAGCGCTTAAAACGTACCACGTCTGAAGGAAATTACAGAAGAACAAGAGACTCCGAGGCATAAGAGCAGAAATGGAGCTGTGGGTCAGTTATGATGATTGATATTGGGCATGATAATAGCGATAATGCGTACTACAGTCAATAAGCAGTAAAATGACGAGGACAGGTGACGGTCCACGTAGTATAAACAAAGAAGGCAAGGCGGCAAATACTGCCAAGGAGATTTGTAGATACTGGATGTTACCATCTCGAACGTTACTGCTTTAAGGTTTAAGCAATCTTCAGCAAAATTTAGGCCCAATTTGGTACTGGCACGGTTGGG